GTGATGTTGACCTTGTTTCTGTAGGTCAATGGTTTGCACTTCTGTGTTTTCTTAGACTGAACTGAAGGTTTGAGGGCTTTGTTGAAGGTCCAGTTTTGGTAGCCACACTTGGCCAGGGCACCTCGGAGGTGTCTATGTTCGTCTATTTTAGATTTTTTCTGAGGAGAGCAGGAGTTGTCTGCGTGAGAGTTTTAATCACTGCTAGTTTGCTAGTGTGTTCCAATGGGTTGTGGGAAGGCCAGGTATTGATCAGTGTGGGTTTGTTTCCTGTTATATTTCAAAACAAGAGTTCCACGATCTCATACCTTCGCCAAATGATGTTAACCCTTGCGGTTGACAAATCATACAATTTTAATCATTGATTTCACAGATAAGAGCCTCATTTGCATGGATTATATCAGTTGATCATATTCTCCACTCAATGATAGCCTTATCTTAACAAAAAGGCTATTATAGCACTTCCTCATAAATTATGCAAATGAGGTCATGATTTGAATAAAGTCATAAAGTGAAGGGAAGAAGTGAAATGAGTTTGGGCCCCCGAGTGGCTAGTTCTGGAACTGCAGGAGTGTTTGTTGAAGAATCTCCAAAGGAGGATAATTCAAGAATCGGTTGACGGATTGTCATGATTTTTTTAAATGTGAGTAGCTGAAGTGATGCTTGACATAATTAGATTATAATTATGCAAATCAGGAGCTTATTTGCATTGTTAATGAGGAAATTCTATTAATCTGCTTCATTTGATAATAGGACTATGAAACATTTGTGACATGTAATTGAGAACGAGAAAAATATCTGAGGGTATAGATAATGTAAAGACCTAATTTGCATAATTAATGAGAAATTGCTACAATTTCATAGTAGTAACTGCTGGGAATTCTATACTTGCCAAATTTGGAAGTTAGGTGAAGGTGAACATCAATTAACATTAATCATGACCTCATTAGGTCATTTGCAGGATGTGTGCTAGAATAGCCTTTTTGGAATAGGGAGGAAGAATGAGTGAAAAATGCTGTGCTTCCAAGCAAATGTTTGCCTTTCTACCGGTAGTTGCCATTTAGAACTTTAAAATTTATTCATCCTGCCTCCGCCTTATGCTAGATATCAGTTAGCTTAAGGAATTGATGAAGAAGAAGGAATTCAAATGAATCTGCAAGAGGGCCTTGAGATTGATCAGCTCTGTTGTCTTGCAGGCAGACTGGACTGTTTGGCCTCCAGCACAAGCTGTCAATTTCTACTTCGTGCCGAGCCACCTTCGCGTGATCTACGTCAACACCATCACACTAGGATGGGACACCTATCTGTCATACGTCAAACACAGGGTACACTTTTCTCTTATACATGTGCGATGAAAGTATAAAGTCATGAAAGCAAAGACCTTAGCCTTGAATGTAGAATGTTACCACTGTAAGTGGAACAGTCATATTCCTGATTCCTTGTATCATTGTGTTTTTACTTGTTGCGTATTTCCTGCAAAAGAAAATCTCTGTCTTTCTCTCGCTCCTCTCCCTCTGTCAGTTACTCTCAAAAGACTATGACTTAACTGCACAACAACAGGATGGTACAGTGCCCAATTTGTTTACAAAATGGAATCTAAGCTTAAAAGGGTCCTAAAGTCCAGAAGGAGTGCTACATGTATTTTCCTATAGAATATGCATTCAATGAAAACATGACTAGCTAACTCTACAGAATTTTGCTTGTGCTACTTGAGAGGTGCATATTTGGAAGTGATATTAATATCATTTTCCCCCATGCTAAACCACAATTGATACTGATTGATCTGGGAACTTTGAATTCCACAAAGCTCATACACTTCAACTCAATGTTTATTTTCAGTGAAAACGATAGGAGACAAGCACACCAATAAGCTGATTATTGAAATCTTTGTTGTGATGCTTCACTCTGTCTTCGTGGGGTGATGGGGCCTAGGGCCTCATCACTGAGAATTCTGTGTAAGCATCCGCCCGTGACTTCCGCCGCCACTTCTGCCGAGAGCTGACAGAGGTCAGCACGGCTACACTTCTCTCCCCAGTATGTGCTTCACGGCTCTGCTCGTCTCTCCTCAGTACATGTATCTGCACGTGTCTCCACAGCATCCCAATACCTCCCCAGGTATTTGCACGCCTCTCCCCAGTCATATCCGAACAAGTTGCGTGCCCCAAACAAAAGACACGTCCACTGGTACTTTACCATGACAAGTATGACGTTGATGGAGCAAGTAGCGGATGTCACCTGGGAAATAGAGGAGCTCAAACTGAACCTGGAGGATGACCACCCCCTTCCCTCCAACAAAACATCTCGCCGCCTCACGGAAGAGATCTTGCAAGACTCGGACGGACAAAGTGAAACACAGTCAAGCAGAAGGGGTCCGTACCTTCAACTCTGCTCCTTCGCACAGCAAGGGAGCTGTTCGAAGTGAACTAAAGGATTTGAAGGAGCAGTAATTCCGCCAACTTCAACCAGCGGCTGCGCAGGTTGTCACCAAGACAGACAACTCATTAGCTGTAGAGAAACCATGTGCTAAGTACCAGTTAGGTCTCTGCGCTTTCTAAGGAGACCATGCAGGGCAGTACGGCATCCTGATGCACAAGTGTAAGCACTGCCCGGAGTCCCGTCCTGATGTATCTGCCCTTCATCCAGCAAAAGACAATACCACGAAAAAACTAAGAGGGACAAATAGCAGGCTGCAAAAGCCCTTCAGGCATGACTAGACTGCTTCAAACATGACCCGGCAAGCACATTGACAAACGTTGCATCACATATTCCATCTTCCCTTCTGACAAGCAAGGCGTCATCCATAGCTGTAGAATTGCCTTGATAGAACCCTTTTGCTGTTTCCCAAACTTTTCAACTATGTAGCCCTCCCTCCCAACAGTTACACATCACAACGAATGCTGACCACGGCTCTCCTCACCTGACAAATCTCAGCACATGTCGGCGTGTCCTTTGATGGCTTTACCTCTGCTGAACAGACTCTCGTTGGAAAGTAAAGTCATCTGGTGCCCAAACCCCTGTCTTCTTTATTGCCCACAGCGTAAGTCATCATAGACTGGATTTCCTTTACTTCATCCAGGTGATCAATGAAGTTGATCCTACGTTTCCCTCTTTTGTAGGTTCCCAAAGGACTAGCTTGGAGGCTATAATATCAAGTTGTCTGGTGATATGCAGTGATATGCCAGTTTCAATCTGCGTGTTTTGATTTTCTCGATTTATTTTTTGACAGCATCTTCATTGAACAGATAATTAGATTATGGTACTTATTGAAAAGATAATTAGATCATTTGACAACTTTTCCATCATTAAAATTTTCAGCTTAAATGAGACACCAAGGAGGCCAATTGTTGATAAGATATCAAAGAACACAAAACAATACAATTTTTCTTATCACGCTTGAAATCATGTCTGTAACATAACTTGTCTGGCAAAACATAGACATCAATGGGGTAGCGTGTTGCATTCTGGATAGTTAGAGGGTATTTCGGGAGTTAGTGGCCTCATCGTGGTGCCCCAATGTCCCCATGTGAGGTGAGATCAGGTGGGGAGTTTGTCCTAGATTCGATGCATTTCAAGACTTGCGCACATAATGGGTATTTTATCGTATACTGTATACTAGTATATATAATATGAATTTTTGTCTTCCTAAATTAATGTCTGTTGGAAATAGCACTCCCTTCTGAACTTTAGAACAAATTAACATCTAGATACAAAAATAATCGAAAGTCCAAGGTCCTGGTCTTAACAAAAAAAAATTGTTTTCAAGTACTTCAAAGTAATTCCTATTCACACCAATCAGTCATGATATTATGGTTTATAGGGCAGCACCCATCTCCACTTCCTTATCTCTTGGGCCACACATCTCTTTAAGCGATAATGCTACTGTGACAGTGCTCAGGAGACTGGTCCACTGTGTGTTCACAGAGTTTGATTGATCGTATCTCTCTGTGCCATTATATGTGCATTATGTGATATCTAAATAGTACATTTGTATGTATCATGTGCCATTATGTGTGTCTGTGTCATCATATATCATTGAAAAGCCTGTTTATTGTCTTTGCATTTTTTTCAGGATGCCAATGGAAAGAAGGCAGCATTGCTTGAGAAGAAAGACGTCATTCTTCAACCAAACGTAGAGCTAAATGGGAACATCAAGAAAGCTCAATAGCAAACATTCTGGTGCCAACAAAATTACTGCTATCAAGGAAACCATGTCATGGGTTGATTCCTTTATAAAGGAGTGGAGAAATTTCTGTGAAGCTTTCCTTTTGGTGGTCTTAAAGGTGGTTCTCAAGAGCAGAAGTGATTGTTCTGGTTCAGTAGATACTAATTAATGAATCCCCTCAAGTATTAGCAAATTGACATTTAGTATACGGCATCAATATTCTTGTAACCCCCCAAGTATCCTCCAGATCAATTACAGCCAGGTGAAACATATTATTTTCCCAAACAACCATTGCACAAACTTCAAAACGGCAGTTATTAATTTAAAAGTCTTGGGTTGATCTTCAAAATTACGTTTGCAATGTGTTTCTGGATGGCACCTGTGCAACTTTGACTTTGATCTCAGGCAGTTATCCCATTGAAACCCATGATTAAACTAGAGTTCCACAATCTCATACCTTCGCCAAATGATGTTAATCATTATGACTGACAAAGGATCCTTATTTGCATGAATTATATCAGTTGATCATATTCCCCAAAGACAGCCTTATTTCAACAAAGAAAGCCATTCTATCATTTCCTCATAAATTATGCAAATGAAATCCTTATTTGAATAAGTTATGTTTAATGACGTTCACTTAACTTTCAAATGCCCCAAGTATGAAATTCCAGGCAGTTACCATTATGGAATTATAACATTCTCTCATTAATTGTGCAAATTAAGTGTTAATTTACATAATCACTATCTGCCTGTGTTTCTCTCGTTCTCAATTACATATGTCACAAGCTTGAATAGTCCTATAATTTAATGCAGCTGATTTATAGAATTTCCTCATAAATTATGCAAAATACATCCAGATTTGCATAATTGTAGCACAATTATGTCAAGCATCACTTACATGTAAGCTACCATTTGTACAATGATTGAAAACTTTCCCTTTTTAAAGTTGTTTTAATGACAAATTGATGTTGTGATAGTTGGCAGTAAAGTTAGCACCATATAGGTATCATTTCTTGTTTAATAGGGTTTACATATATGTATGATGTCAAAATTTCAAAATATAGGAATTTTTTTTTTGGTCCCGCCTTGTTTTTTTTTTTCGCCCTCTCGCATTAGATTTGGAGTCTGCAGAGGATGTCATCCATAAAATTTACTTACTGTGGCCTTATCCTCTTTTGTATATTTTTAAAGAAATGCCCCTGCTGTTCATGAGCAAGCCGCTAGGGGGTTCAAACCTACATGTACGTCACTTCTTGACCAGCACAAGTACTACCTACCACTCACATTTTGTGCCCCTAGCATGTCAAGATCATGAGATATCAAAACCAGAAGTTCTGCTGCAGCACCATAACAAGCTGCTGTGGGGCCCAAAATCTAATCGTTTTGAGGTCTCATCAAGACCTACCCACCTACCAAATATGAAGACAATCCATGTAAGCCTTCTTGAGTTATCGTGTTTACAGACACACAGACAAATGCCGATGAAAACATAACCTTCTTGGCGAATGTAAAAATGCTGCCCTCAAAAAAAAGCATTAGCTGTTACAAAATCCAGGGGTGATCTTGAGAATAAGGTTTGTAATGTGAGTAGATAGCTGTTCGTCAGTTTTCCACCTTAAATTTCCTCTTGCATTGAGCCAAAGAATGACCTAGATCTTCAGCAATTATCCCATTGGAATCCATGCTTAAGGTGGGCATCATTTCCATCATCCCCACACATTGGTCTGCATGGAGGGGTACTCAATTCTAAAAGGTTCAATTCCTTGAATTGTACAAATTTGGTTGATTTTGTATCAATGAAAGTGTGTTGTTTTAGAAAATTATAACGGCTCTTGAGACTGCCTTTAAAGATGTTTGATTCAGAAATTTTGAAAATTTAATCATACATCCATTTAACTTTTGTTGTGTTTTGTAGTTTACATGACTACTGGCTAAAATAAAAAGAAGTTACCGGGGGTGCCCTAATATCGCTAGCTTTTCACTCGCTTGAACTCATGATGTTCCATCGCTAGAGAATGGTCAGTATCTGATGATTTGATTTTGAAAATATTAATTTAAAGAACATACTTAATAAGAAATGCATTTAATAATAATAATACTGTTCATAAGCTCTTCATGCCTGCATTACCAGTGGCAAACGCTGTGAGATGTTTTCATGAATGTACCTTTGTGATGTGCTAGACACCATGCCCTTATGCCCACTTTAGGCTGGGAACGGTATACTAGATAGTACCATTCTCAAACCCTTAGAAACCCCTTGCCACCAGTAACGGTTTGTCTTTAGACCAGGTTGGAAGCATAGAGGGCCACCTGTCGCATGGCATATTTCAGGTCAAAATGGCATCAGAATACCCACTTATTTTGTCTTGTGACACTAATTCATGTTTTTACTTTTTGCTATCTACATTTTCTTGCATTGTCCTGCATTGAGACGTTGAGTACTCACTCAACAAAGAAGGTGACTGAGGGCACATGTGCAGGGACGGGCAATTCCCAGGCTTGAACCCAGCTTTCTTTTCTTGACGCCAGTAATACATGTAGCACAGGCCAGACAGTGCTCCAGATCCTTCAGATCCTAGCAAAGTCAGTGGCAAAACACATGGCACCCTTATGCATAATAAGATCAGTAAAAAAATCCTGCAAAGTTAGGGCACATGCAAAGTAAGGGCACCCCCCAATATGGTCAAAAAATCCTTACATTAATTGGCAAAATTGTTGACATACCTGATAAATGGATAATCTCAGGACAGATTGAACAGTCAAATTTCTCTATATCACAAATTCTATGACCAAAAGTGTGAAGTTTGGAAAAAATACCTTTTGTCATCTTTTGATTCTTAAAGAGGTCTCCAGAAGAGAACTCCAGAAGAGAGTGCTATATCCCCATAGATTATGCTTAAACGAATAACGTTACATAACTAAAAGAATTTTGCTTGCACAAGTTGCTTGCCACATTTTGTAAAGCGATATCATTTCCCCCCCATGCTAAATCACAATTTATACATCGTGGAACTTTGGATTATGCAATGCTCATACACTTCAAGTCAACATAATTATTTTTCGCAAAAATGATAGGAGACAAGCTGATTATTGAAGAGTTACTTATTACATGTCGATTGAATAAATAATAATTTCTGTAAATTTGGTCAAGCCACCACTCAAAACCAAAGTGACAGCATCCTCCATCATGCTGAGACTGGATTTCCTTTTACTTCATCCAGAATTGGTTATTCTCCAATCTAAGGTTGTCTTGAGAAGCAGTGGATGGTTGTTAATAATATTTATTGGATGGTAAGTGGCAGCAAAAATGAGTTTAATAATGAGCCTCCTAGCAGCTATTTAAGGTATTAGGGCCAATTGTTGATAACCTATCTATGAACCCAAAATTTATGCCAGTAATACATGTATGTATATGATTGTCTGTTATTTTGGGGGGCAAAACATGTTGGGAAGCACGGTGCATTCTGCGATGGTTTAAAGGGCATTTGGTGAGTTTATCTTTAAAAATTAATGAAATAAATGGAAAATAGCACTGTCTCCCTTCTGGACTTTAAAGACCCCTATAAGGCATGACAAAGTAGCATTGATTTTAACTCCTTGTTATAAGCTTATAATGTGCAATGCTCTGTTGTTGTAAAAGATGTTACTGTATAAACATATATATATGGTGCTCTGCTGACGTATCACTCATGATAACCGTATATGGTTTTTCAACCTGGAGAAGGACGCGGTACAAGAAAAACAGAAACAAGACATGTTACTCTTGTATGTTAACTCTTGTCAACAGGAATATCACTGCTATCTCCACTCTTCCGCACTTGAATCTACAAACTTGAACTGGCAGTACAGAAATGGCAATCTTAAAGCAGATATTGGGGTGAGAGATTATCACAAGGACGTAGGTTCCTATCAGAAAAGCTTTGCTGTAAACATACTAGTAGTAAAGATTTCCAACTGCCAAGCTTCTCTTACTAACAACTAGGCTACTTTGCAAGTGTCGCTCTCAGAGAAGCTGGATTGTCAGAGAATCTCGAAACCCACCAGTCAAAAATCATTTCAGGCTTTCACCCTAACATCTGCTTTAGGCAGAGATTACAGGTGTGTTGATATTGCCCATGTGTCTGAGATACCATTTGTATGATTCAAAGTCAATGTGAAGTCATGAATCATAATGGCAGCGAAGAAGATAAGAAAAAGAATACATTCCTTCATTCATTCATTCCAGGGTATTTTCACTCAATTGGAGGAACCCCTCTCATGACTGACTCCAGTTTTGTCTTAGATGGTCAATACAAACACTGTCAGGTAGAGCGCAGATTATATACCCAAGACAATTTGACGTTTTTTTGCTGTAATTTTTGATGGTATAGTTTAGAGAAGAGTGTCTGGTTATGATATTGTCTGAGTCAACACTATCAAATGTTGTTTTTGAGTCACACAATGTTTTCAGGTGCAGAGATATCCCATGGGATCTGTGTGTGTGGTACTTCTATGTAATATGTAATGTCTGAGGTTGTCATACATTCCATGTTTTGCCTGCAACATTTTACATGTTGATGCAAAAACTGAAAAGCTAGCCAATGCAGTTCTGCGACAACATGTCCAATGGCTGTAGGTCTTACAAAACGGAATTGTATATTAAGTACTAGTATGACTTTATGAAACATAACTTAAATCCAGTTGCCATAGCAGTATATAACTAGTCACAGATTGTTCATTTCGATATGTATTGTTATGCCAACAAGGTACAACTTGTAAACAATCATCAATAAGCTGTAACAAATATAAATATAAAAAATAATATCTTACGTCAGTGTTAACTCAGGGTTAATGGAATGTCTGCTTAAACAAAATGTACCTTTAGTAAATCCAAAGTAATTTATTTTTGTTGAACAGTTTTTAAAGTATACATTAAGATATGTATACAGCAATGTACATTGTATGATTCTATTTGTAGCAGTGAATGCTCATTTTATGTATAGAGTTAAATGTGTAGGGTTAAATTGAAATCATGATTATCTTTGAGTTCTATATAATTATCAGGCTGTATTTCTCAGTGGAATATCTGTCAATACTGATTCAATTTTTTTACAAAACTTAATGAGTTCCTTAGTTTTAAGTATACCAGATCAATTCATTAAATGCACTGTAGTATTGCATACATCTCCACAAACTGATTTCATGTTGACTAGTTTTTTTATGATGTTATATATGATGTTATATATGATGTTATGTCTCACGTTAGTTGGGGATGCTGACAATTTTTCACAGAATAAGGATCTGAACATGTAACTACCAACACAGATACATGTAAACATTCATGATACTAATAGAATAGATACTTACTGTTGTTAAATTCCAGATGTGGCTTGAATCAGCTGGTGATACTAACAATGTTGAGAGACCAATAAACAAACATTCAAAGGAAACAAAACAGGAACTGTATCTTAGAAAAGTTACAACATGTAAAATAACTACACGATTGTATAATGTCACCATGGAGATAATGATGAGTACAAG